TGGCTGCAGTATCTGAGTTCGCTGTAGCTGCCGTGACCTGAGATACTGTGATCGTGTCACGATTCTGTCGCTACTCAAATGCGCGGCCAACGCATGCGCCTCTTCCCTCTCTTCGGGGTTGCTAGGGTGTAGCAGGCGTGCCAGATCTGACAGCTGTAGTGAATCCTCCAGGACCGGTGTGTGCTCGCGTGAAGCCCATGACCTAGACTGCGTGGGCGTTCTCTGCCCAGCGTCTTCCGACTCCCAATCGCTGTCGCCGTTCGTGCTGAAAGAAACGACGCTCGTCGTATCATCATCATTATTTGCTGCCAACGGTTGATACTCTCCGCTGTTGTCTGCCGAACCCCACCATCCACCCTTCAGCCACCAGCCGTACAGCTTCGAATCGAGGTCGGCCTCGTCCATGGGAGCCCAGTTCTGGTTTCCCCTCCATACTTGCTGTCGGAACTCGGATTCGACATCAACGCTGTCGGTCAGTGGAATGTTCATGGGTGACTCGACGGGGCCTGCAGGTGCTTGAGAACGGCCGGCACTATCCTTGGCATTCGAGTTCCTCAAGTCGGTGGCAGCCTTGGGTCGGCGAACGATCCAAAGGAGGAGTTTCGGGTGCCGTAAGCCAATCTTGGAAAGTATTTTCAGCATAGTGGTAGCCCACGTCCGGAAGATCAGTCTGTTGATGTTCATGATGAAGTCCAATGCCATCAACCATCGGCCACTCCGCTCCGCAGCGCCAACGCCGTCCCGTAATCTTCGCTCCCCAGACCGTGATTTGGGCACCTTTTGAGCCGCGCGTTCGCGGGCGTATCCGTTCTTTGACAACATGTGGTCGTCCTTGACCGGCACTAGACCAATCGTGCCAATAGCATCATAGTGAGAGTCAGGAGCGCCGGCTCCAATCCACTGGTTTCGTAATTCTTCAAGTTCGCGGTACCTCTCTTCCTCAAGCCACGTATGCGGTCTCATTGTGACGTCTCTGTCTTCGTTTAGGTAGACGGCTTCGCTTGCCATGGTAATAGCCCCAAAGCCGGTCCGAAGCAAAGCGGTGTAAAAGTCCATTTCCATAGTGATCCGAATGTCGGATAGAGAGAGGTTGGCTTGCATGTTGGCGTGAGCTTGCGCCAGACGCTCGCGAAGGCTCAGCCTCTGTCCCGATTGACCCTCTATTGGCGTGAGAGCCGCCAGACCGAGAGCGAGCAGGTAGATGAAGAAACAGACCAGAATGCCGCCTAGCACAAGAACATGAGGGATGAAGCCGATGATGCAGACTGTCGGAAATCTGAGCAGGCCTTGCTTCGCAGGATCATCCAAGGAGAACGTGAAAGCACTCCAAAGAATGCTTGCCATGAAGCATAGGCCCCAGAATCCGGTGCTGACGAGTCGGAATTTGGCTTGCAGGTTGAAGATGCCTAGCAAATGGCTGGTAATATGGCTCATGGTTGAAAAAAACGCAACAAGTAGAACCTCGGGTGAGGTGTTAACCCTTCTGAGAATCATGGAGCGACTGATGGCTATGCTGCTGGCGCTCGTCGAAGCAGCATCTGCCACTTGAGATTGGGTAAATAAGCCCCAGCCAAGTTGGTTGCTAATAGCAGCATCCGCCTCGGCAAAGGCAAGGGAGTGTTCGAAAAGTGTCATGCCCGTCTCGGCAGCTAAGGGTCGGCCCTGCACAGCACACGATACGGTCTCCAGGAATTGACTCAAACAAAACGTTCCGAATAGCGGCCACAACAGAGACAAAGATCCCCTCATGCCCTGCGTCGCGTCATTGGTATCTGTCGGAATCATACCTACAGCTATGCAGGACGCTTCGTCTGAAGCCCCCAACAACAGTGCCGAACTCATGGTATGGAGGAGACCGCCGGCTTGTGAGAACATGAGCTCGGAGCTCTTGCTTGTGTTTCCCCAGCGCATTTCGGCAAAGTCAGGAGATGTTTGGCACTGGATTGACCGCAGTAGGCCGCGCGCTTGTACCAAAAATAGAAGAACGGGAAGGCCACGCAAGGCCAGTCGAATTGGCAGAGTGAGTCGCAAGCGTCGCCGAGTAGCTGCGAAGATGTGCGTGCGGTTGAGGACGATTGCCATGGCAATACAGCAAAGCGCCCACTTGCTCGTCGCATAGCTGAAGACACTACCTAGCCCTCTTGCGCCCTCCATGGTGAACTTTGGAGAGGCCAAGACAGCATCTGGATCAACCGGAATAGCAGGCCCAGTTCCGGGAAGATGGCCTATGGGAGGAGGTATATTCATATCGAAGGCAGCGGTCGTGGCCGCGTCGGTAGTACGTAGGATGCCGGGTCCCGTTGCTTCTGGAATGACTCTCTCGAGGGAGTCGGGAATGGGAAGATAGGCCGTGAGCTTTCGCACCATCCTCGGGCCAGCCCATACCAGGTCTTCGAAGGAAGGAGCCAGCTTGGTGATGTTTACGGCGTATTGAACCTGGTGGGCCGTCCACAGCGAGAGGTTCTGCCACACCCCTGTATTTTCCAGAGTAGGAGGTGGATGCAGATTGTCCATGGTCACCAGGAAAGGGTTGGTATTCAGGCCAGATTATACAAAGGCAGCGGCAGCAGCCTTATCGCTCGGGGCGGCTGGGAGTGTCGCGGTTCGGATCATAGGCAGTGACGTCGAATGCGGGAGAACATTATGCGGACAGCAGGCACGAGGAGGTGTTCGGCTGACCGGGTCTCCAATAAGGTAGCTGAGGACGGCCAATGTCAGGAACGGTCGTCGACTAGGCAGGTGGTCGTCGATGGTATCTCGCGGACGATCGGGGCCCAAGGTCGGTCAAAGATGGCTCGTCGAGAGGGCAAGGACGGTGGGGGTGTAGAGATGGATAAGGACGGAAGCTCGGATGGGATGGAGGGATGTTGTCGCATGCCCGCGAAGCTCACTGATCGCTCCAGGTCTCTCCACTCCTTAGCGCCGTTCTCTGACGGACAATAGCGAGCCCAGAGCACCGAGGAGCTGGAAGCCGGGGCCCGAGTGCTTACGAGAGACGGGCTAAGGACTTCCTCAGAGCGACGACTGCGCCGCCGAGGTTGGGGTAAAGTGGGTACCTGACAAGCATCCATGCTCAACCTTGAAGGTATCATCAACAACCTGGAAGGTCTATACGGAGTAAACTTCTAGGGAGTACCGCTATGATGTCCTTTCCTTGCTAGGCAGATAGATGTCTCAATACAAAGCAAGGCGGTCACTTTGAAGTGAGCTGGAACAAGAACAGGCAACGGCCATAAGCAAACCTTTTCGGGATAATCTGTACTGCATTTACAGCTCACTTGCTCATTTCTCAGCAGGCATATCGCGATGAGGGAAGTTCTATTGCCTCCCAGTCTACCATCGAATGAACAGACTTCACCAGTTTTTGCTAAACATGTCTGCCACCCCTCATCTATCGAATCAAGCTCTCAATGTTTCTTCATACATGGAGCTGGTATCTTTTGTCGATTTGGCAACAACGCCTGTTCTCGACGTAGTCCGCATTGTGAGCACCGGTCACGAGTATGGCTATGTGTAGAGGGCTCGGCGACCGTCATTAATCTGACAATTCTGCATGGGCTCCCCGAGGTGATCTTGCTTTCACCTGCCAGTCTGCCAAGATCTTCATCCTCCTTCGTGATCACTCGAGTGCGAATCACCCGATAAAATATGCCGAGCTGATGCATGACAACGCATGCTTCAGTTTTCGACGCTCAGAGTCACCATGAAGCCATGCTCAGTTGTGGCTCCTTTTCGAAGGCGCGACAAATCAACGCCGTGTTCTCGAACCCGGGCTGCATACCTCCACTAGGTAATTTGCCATGGTCTAATCGATTAACTGCTGGGTGGTTGGTTGCTTTCGAGTCTCTCGAGAACGGCGCGGTAGTTGCCCTTGGAAGCTTGAATAGCGCGACCCATGAGTTTCGTATGGAGCAAGGGGTCCAACGGCGAGAGCTGACCCTTCACCCAAAGGTTGGTGATCTCCGCGCGACAAGGGAGGTAAGCCACACAGCAAGCGGCAAGTATTTTGTCGTGCTCCAGAGAAACGGGATCCAAGACAATAGACAGTGCGTCTGCGTCTGTAGTGTCTTGTTCGTTTGAAGAGACAAGAGCTGCAACACCGCCGGTGACCATGTCGACGCAATCGATACCAGCGTCAGCGAGAGCCGCCGCGGCAACGGTGATGCAACCACTGAGAACGTTCATCATATCCCACTCTTCGTTGCCTTGGGAGTGAGACGCCTCTCGCTCTTGGTCGCCTTCAATAATGGTAACAATCACGTCGACGCCACTTTTTGGCCATCTATCCGCAATAATGACTCCGCGTAGGGCCGTATCGAGATGAACGCTGAGATCTCTCTCACTCGAGTCACGAAGGTAGCCTCGACGTCGACGTGTGGCGAAAGGAGCGTATTTGACATGAGTTGAGAGCACCAGGTAGGGCGAGAAGGGTGCGGATCGAGGAAGCGAACGAGGCCCATGGACAGTGCAGATGAGCTTCATGCCATTGGTCTTTGACTGAGAAGCGGCCTGAGATTTGATCTGGCCGAGTGGTGGCTCAATCTCCATGTATGCTGAGCCTGAAGCTGTGGGAGTGACGCCAGTCTTGAGAACTTCTCACTATTAGCATGATCAAATTCCAAGGGGAAAGCAAAGGTCAACTAACACAATCCTCGAATTCCGTTTGCCAGCCTTTCCCTGGGGGTCGCAATCGGATCCGTAGTCTCATAAACGGGCGGTAATGTTGTACCAGGCGGTCCATTAATTCTCCGTCGATCAGCCATCTTGATGGAGACTCTGTTTTTTTTTATTCCCAATAGCGAGGAAGGTGGTTTGTTCGGTTTGTTGGTTGGCAGTATTAGTCTGGTAGAGTGTGACTTCCCGCAATATGTGTAGGTTTGATGAATACCTGACGTCGTTTGCCTGGGTTGAGAGCCTTTCTTAGCTGCTCGAGAGGAGGCCTGAGGTGAATTTTCCAGGTCGTTACCGACCACTGTGGTACGGCTACCATACCCGCTTAGATGCATCTGCGCGCCGGCGCGGGGTCCACAAAGGTAAGTGGAGACATCCCATTATGCCATATAAGGCTCGATACTTCAAGTCGAAATTTTTCACCACACTCCTTTCCTCCATCAACTTCAACAACCATCCTTCGCAAGCGCGAAAAGATCAGTGCTTCGGCAGTCAAAATGGGCTGCTTTCGCATGGTCAGCTTCGAGAGCATTTTACTCGGTAAGTTTTTTGCAGCCTCATTCGCGCCCATTGTCCACTTTCATGATGTATATCTTACACACCGTTCCCGCGATCTCCTGAGCGCAAGAACAAACATGCATCACCATCTGATCCCACGCCACTATGGACCTTCAGCACATTCTCTAGAGACCAGAAAAGAGAACATCACTAACTATGGTTCAAGGTTAATAAACCAGGTGAATATCTCATCGTCAGAACTTCCTGTCTACACTTTCTTTGGGTATGTCAACTTTGATTTTTTTTTTTCCATCCTTCTTTTTGCAGCACCTGCACATCGTCGACTATGATGAACAACCATATCATTCAGTTCTGCTACTGAACTCTGTGATGATAACCCATATACCAAAAACTTTGTCTGATACGACGTCTATCTTCCTCATTTGCTACTGTTTGATCATTCGAGTCAAATAGCTAACAGGAACAGTCCCACAGCAGGCAATCAATCTTGTTTGTTCAGCGTAAGAGCTGTCGTCACCAACATGGTGGGCAAGCGCGCAAGCACAGGTAAGAATTTTCTTGTTCGCAATGTTTTCCCTAGCGTGCTTCTCAGGCTTCCTACCCGGGGCGCACGCAACATCATGATGACCACAGCTTATCCATTCAACTATGTCATGCCAACCGAGTCATCCTCCCGCACTGGAGTTCCTCTCCGGAGGGACGAGGAAGGTGGTGGAGTTGGCTCCCTCGGGAGTCGTCATTTGACTTCAGTGCTGAGCTTCTCGGTTCCTCGTTCTGAGGTTCAGGGTTTGCGAGGCCGGCTAGGCTGAATGAGTACACCCGGCTCGTCTGACCTGATGCCATCATCATACTTTCTCAAGTAGTCTTTACGTGTGGTTCACTTTGCTAATGATGGCCACATTTAGGATTCCTTCTCGTCTTGCCTTGCCTCGGTGATGTGAATTCTGTGTGTATATTCATCTCTCGTGACGTCCTTCAGAGTGCTTTTATTTCGTTGTGTTCATGATACCTACAGTGAAGCGTAGCCTCGCATGCGCAATTTATCCACCTGCCGCTACAGTCGAGATAATGTGGTAAGGCGTTGGAGATGAGTAATATGTCAGAGGGGCATGGAGTGTTGGTCTCTAGTCGCGCTCTCCTCCCTGATGTCCCCCACAACCGCAAGCGCAGTGTGATGGAGTATGTGGGCGAGTGGGTAAAATGTCTATGTGTGATGGCCTCGGGAATGCCGAATACCTCACGTCTGACAGTGAAATGCGACATCTTTGTATTGTGTGTACTCTCTCCAGACTTCATCATCGAGGGGACCTACCTGTTCAATTTGGGTGTTGCGGTAAGGCGCCTGAACTTACCTTACTACCTGCGTTTAAAGGGGTTTACGACGTATCTCTTCCTAGTCGTGGTCTTGCCCATACTCCCTAGTGTCTTCCACATGCCCATAAGCCAAGTTTCCCATTTCTCTGATCGGCTGCTTCCTGTCAGCTCTACCGAGTCTGACTCTACGCTCACGTTTTCAGACAGATGTTGGAGTTTTTGAGGATGACTGACGCTTGCCGGTGTCATGAAAGCATTTGAAGAGGGGGGGGGGGGTGCCTAAGAGAAGACTTAGAAGAGCACTGAATACCGCCTTATCGTTGGGAGCGATCGTGGATGGAAGGGAGGTTAAGCTTTAACGGAGGCAGATTTGCAGACCTCCCGGGCGATTGCACGGCCAGATAGTCGCGAATTCAGAAGCTCGAATGGCAAGGTACCTTGGTCCCGCGTAGCTTGAGGCAATGGAATCCAGACTAGTGGGAGCTCAGGGAGGCTTCTTGCGCCAAGTTTCGTCCAATTACATGGCAGACTGTGCACTGCGTACCCATCCTCCCGCCCTGCCACCCTGCCTTTGGCAGATGGACACGTTCAAAGTACGCTGTCCTTACTGTGCATGCTTCCCAAACGGCGCGAAGCAGGGGTGCCGGTACCTGGCTAGGTGCCCTGTCACGGCTGGGCCGCCAAGTACCTATTCAATTCCTGGGATGACAGAGAGGCAATCTGAAAATAAAATAATACGTAGCCAAAGTTGGCGTCCCGGTCCAGTCCCAGTCCCAGACCCCGTATTCGCAGGTATCCCGTCGACGCTCCCTTAACCTACCTGACCCAACCCATATTATCCTCCTCAAGACGCATTGTCATCCGCCATCGCGATCGCGGCCTTCATACCTTTCGACAACTTGACACGTTCGCTGCCCGAGCCGCACTTTCCAGCTAGCCAAACGATCACAGCACTCGCTCCCCCTGGTTTTAGATGCTCTCCTCTGCTTAATCTTCACGACTCCCAAGGGCTGGGCGAGGTGCTTCATTGCTGTACAACTCTCCACCCTCACCTCGGGACCGGGAATTCGACTTCCACCCAGTGCCCTGGATGTTGCCTTCTTATTCTTCCTCAGCCTCCAAGGTGGTGCCGCGGCATCATGCGAGTGGTTACTCCAATGGATATCCAAGGGGGAACACGTTCGAGATCTCCCCCCATAGGTCAGGAAGACACCTTTGTTCTCTCCTCGCTAATTGCTTCTATCCTTTGCGCCGCGCCTCGCTGACCTGTCATTCTCTTCTCAACAGATACCAACCACGAGCCTCAACACCCGCGAATCGTCGTCGTCAGCGTCTAGTAACTCGCCTCATCATTGTCGCCGTTGTCGCCATCTTCTTTCTCGTCTTCGTCTGGCCGGGAGCCTCCCTGACTTCCATCTTCTCCCTCGGTCTGCTGTCTGCCAGCAGCGACTTGCAATTGGAAACAGTACGATACTACGATCTCAGCAATGTGCAGGGGACTGCTAGAGGATGGGAGCGGGAGGAGCGCATTCTTCTCTGTGTCCCTCTGAGAGACGCCGAGTCACATCTGTCCATGTTCGCCTCCCATCTGCGCAACTTCACCTACCCCCACCACCTCATCGACCTTGCCTTCCTGGTCTCCGACTCAAAGGACCGCACCCTACAGGTTCTCAACGATATGCTGGAGGAGATTCAGGCCGATGAGGACCCCAAACAGCCTTACGGCGAGATCTCCATCATCGAAAAGGATTTTGGACAAAAGGTCAACCAGGATGTGGAGAGTCGTCACGGATTCGCGGCACAGGCGAGCCGAAGGAAGTTGATGGCCCAGGCCCGTAACTGGCTACTCAGTGCCGCCCTGCGGCCATACCATTCCTGGGTGTACTGGCGCGACGTTGACGTCGAAACCGCCCCATTCACCATCCTCGAAGATCTCATGCGTCACAACAAGGACGTGATTGTGCCAAGTAAGTCAGAGAAACCCTAAGGGGCGAGGGAGAGTATCTCACTAACGGTTCGCAGATGTTTGGCGACCTTTGCCCGATTGGCTTGGTGGAGAGCAGCCGTATGATCTCAACTCATGGCAGGAATCAGAAACGGCGCTAGCTCTCGCGGACACTCTGGACGAAGATGCTGTGATTGTTGAAGGTTACGCCGAGTATGCGACTTGGCGGCCGCATTTGGCATACCTGCGAGACCCATATGGCGACCCTGATATGGAGATGGAAATTGATGGAGTGGGCGGCGTCAGTATTCTTGCCAAGGCCAAGGTCTTCCGGTCTGGAGTACACTTCCCAGCTTTTAGTTTCGAGAAGCACGCTGAGACGGAAGGATTCGGAAAGGTAAGATGATTGTGCTACTGGATGTAGAAGATAACTAACCATTCCGGTGTAGATGGCGAAGCGCATGGAATACTCTGTTGTCGGTCTGCCGCACTACACGATCTGGCATCTTTACGAGCCTAGTGTTGACGACATCAAGCACATGGAGGTACGTCTCTTGCTCAATGGCAACGTCATGAAGTCTATTCTAACGCAATACAGGAAATGGAACAAGAGAGGCTTGCTAGCCAAAAAGAGGAAGAAGAAAAGGCCGAAAAGGCTAAGAAGGTCAAAGAGCAGTTCGGCGATGCCAGCAGCCAGTGGGAGAAGGACAAGACTGATATGCAAAACCTCGTCGTCGGAGAGAAGAAGAAAGAGACGAAGGGCACAAAGGAAGACACCAAGGAGGTCGCCAAGGAGGGCAAGGAGGCCAAGTCGCCCAAGGATGCCGACAGCAACCAAGCGGATACAAACAAGAAGGCCGCAGCAGCAGACAAGAAGGATACAGAAGGCAAGTCAGACAAGCTGGCAAAAAAGGAAAAGGACGGAAACGGCGCAGCATTCGCCAAGAAGGCTGAGAGCTGAGGAGGATGAATCTAGTAGGATGACTCCCTACCGTCGAACATTGCTGGGATCTGTCGCTGTTCTTGATGAACAAGTATCGGTACGCAGGTTGCCGCCAGCGGACAGCTTGTGTAATCGATACGGGGATAAAAAGCAGAGTCGAGCCGTGTTATCAACTTTTGTTGTACACTAAGATATCTGCCACCGGATGGTCTGGAACAAAGGGATGTTGTAGGAAGGCGTTGATTTATCTTGGGGCCCAAGGACACGGGCACCACGTCGGGCATAGAACTAGCCCGCGAAATTATGAGTTACAGATGCACAGTTGAAGTTTCAATATACGTGATTAGATGCAGAAAATGAGCCCGAAACAACTTTGTCAGTTCAGGACTCTTGTTGATTGTGAATAATCGCGATTGTCTGGCTTTTTTCAAAATAGGCCTCGTCTCTTATCTACTGAGACCCCAATTGGGATCAAGACTGTGACGGATATGATAGAGCAGGTCTAAACAGTGTCTATTTGTGTAGAAAGTGTCTTGCCAGAAGATTATGGCCAAGGCTAGAGGATAAAGTAAGGTGGCTTATAAAAGTTCGGATAAGTAGGCCTCTACCTCTATTGAAGGCTAGAACCTTGGGAGGATACGTACCCCCACAGCTTAGCTTTCGGGTACTGAGGTACCTTGCAGCGGAACCCCAACCTGGGGCATTGCACCTTATCGGGCTGCTTTACCGTGGGTACTTGCTACTTAGTGATCACTAACACCGGGCGCCATGTAGAGTGGCCTTGCTCCGTAGGTACACGGTAAGACTTGGAGCTCCATCTGCAACCTGGTCAATTCCACGCCCAGGAATCCTTTTTGGCGACAGCTGTCTCCGTCTTGGACAAGACACCTAAATCTCAACGTTCTCGATCCGCACCCTACGAACCCGAGCTAACCTCCAACGGCTCGACGGATATCTGTCCTTGGACCCCTCCTCGGCGATTGCACAAGGCATCCGCCACACATTGCCAAAGTAATTTGCTGTCACCCACGGATATTCAGCCTGTGCTTCGTCGTTTCTCTCTAGCCTGAACGCCGCCACCCGACACCATCATACCGAGAGCCCTCCAAGACCGATCCTCGCGCGCGCGCCCTCGAACCACCGCGTTTACCATCATACCATGAGCCGAGATGCAGATGACTTGCTGCAAACCGAGACGGCCTCTGCCGTTGGCACGCGCTCTAGCGCGGACATTCGTCGAGCCATGATCGCGCCGAGGATGCAGTATCGAAGCCGACCTGTCTCTGTCGCTGTAGACCCCGTGTCTTTGGTCATGTCCGAGTGCATATCGATCACTTCTGCGATTCAAAAACATGCGCGATCACCTCATTCTTCCGTTTCGGCCATCTTGGGTGGGAGCCCAAACCCGATTCACCTGGGGCCCCCGAGTCCTTCACCGAGGGGTGCATCCAAGACACCAGGCACTGGACTCGGGATCGATGGCGCTCAGGACGTGGCCTCCGCCAACAGATGGGGCCTACGTGGAAAGAAGGGTCGCAGCATACAGGACAACCCATTGATGGCCGGGTTTGGGAAGCTCCGTCATGAATTGGCCAGCGTTAGAGGTAGGACTCAAACTCGCTCTTTGCGGCACTGGCCTCTGCTATGCTGAGCTAGCCTTGCTAACAACGTTGCGCCCCAGACATACACTCATTCGACGCTCTGGTTCTCTTGAATCCGTTCCTTCAGATAATCCAAACGAAAGGTACGGCCGCGCCCATAACCATCCTCACTCTGGGAGCCCTGCGCAAGTTCTTGGCATACGGGTTTATAAGCCCTGCGTCACCACGATTCGCCCTTGCCATGCAGTCCCTATCAGCAGCCGTCACTCGGTGTCAATTCGACGGAAGCGACTCAGGACAGGTGGAGGTTGTTCTCCTGATGATTCTTCACCTAATGGAGGACATGATGTCGGGGCCAGGAGGCGACATTTTAAGTGACGAAAGTGTTTGCGATATGATGGGCAGGGGGCTAGCAATTTGCTCGCAACCTCGATTTTCGCCCGTCCTCCGACGAACAGCCGAGGCGTCCATGGTTCGCATGTGCCAGATTATCTTTGAGGACGTCAAACACCTCGAGGTTGAGGCCGGAGATGAGTCCGACGCTCTCGACAAGCAAACAAGCGCAGACATGGACAGCGTCAAAATGGATCCAGCCGCGAATACTGCGCCAGGCTTGCAGGTGACGAGCCCTGAACCGGATGCGCGCCTGTCCACCTCAAGCTCGACTCCCTTGGACCCGAATCCACGATCTCGGGGAGGCTCAGAGTCGGGTGATAGCAAGACCGACGCTGGCGCTGGCGGCGATGTGGAGGCCGATGGTGATGCAGATGGCGCGGAGAGTTCCGACTCTTTGGATCTCCGGCCCTACTCGCTGCCTTCTGTGCGGGAACTCTTCCGGGTTCTGGTCAACTTCTTGGACCCCAACGACCGGCAGCATACCGACACTATGAGAGTCATGGCATTGCGCATTATTCACGTTGCCCTCGAGGTTTCTGGTCCCTCTATTGCGCGGCACCCTGCTTTGGCTGGGATAGCCGAGGACAGGCTCTGCTGCTATCTCTTCCAGCTTGTTAGGTCGGACAACATGGCCATCCTGCAAGAGTCGTTGATCGTGGCCGGCACGTTACTAGCCACCTGCCGCGGTGTTTTAAAATTGCAGCAGGAACTCTTTCTTTCGTATCTCGTTGCGTGCCTTCACCCGTCGGTAGAAATACCGCGAGAACCAGGCATTGACCCGTCACTGTATGCCGGGATACCGCAATCCCCCAAGCTCGTCAAGCCACCCCCATCGCAGACCAGCAGCGGCCGCTCGACGCCAGTCCCGGTGAAGGATCGGCAAAAACTCGGTCTTGAGGGTGGTGCCAGGAAGCCAGACGCACGACAAGCCATGGTTGAGAACATTGGTGTACTGTCAAGGATGCCAACGTTCATGGCTGAACTCTTTGTCAATTACGATTGCGACGCTGATCGAGCGGACCTATGCGAAGACATGATTGGCCTTCTCTCGAGAAATGCTTTGCCGGACTCTGCAACTTGGAGCACGACGAGCGTGCCACCGCTTTGCTTGGATGCACTGCTCAGATACATCCAGTTCATCGCCGAAAGGTTGGACGAGGCCCCGGTTTTCGATGGCTATCCCGACGCTACGGAGCTACGGGAACTGAGACGGAAGAAGAAGATCATCATCAAGGGTACCAGCAAGTTCAACGAGAACCCCAAGGGCGGCCTTGCCTATCTCGAGGCCCAGGGAATCATCTCCGACCTCAAGGATCCAGTCGCGGTCGCCAAGTTCCTCAAGGGAACATCGCGCGTGTCCAAAAAGGTCCTCGGCGAGTATCTCTCCAAGAAGGGAAACGAGGCCGTACTAGAGGCGTTCATGGGCCACTTCGACTTTTCAGAGAAGCGAGTGGACGAGGCGCTCAGAGGACTATTGGAGACATTCAGATTGCCTGGCGAGTCGGCATTGATTGAGAGAATCGTTGTCTGTTTCGCAGATAAGTACTGCTTGAAGGCGAAACCAACCGAGGTCGCCAACGCGGATGCTGTCTATGTCCTGACCTACGCCATCATCATGCTCAACACGGATCAGCACAACCCCAACCTCAAGAGTCAAAAGCGTATGACCGTGGACGATTTTGCACGAAACTTGCGAGGCGTCAATGACGGCCAGAATTTTGCGCCAGAGTATCTTCAGGATATTTTTGACAACATTAGAACCAACGAGATCATCCTGCCTGATGAGCATGACAACAAGCATGCGTTTGACTATGCTTGGCGCGAGTTGCTCGTCAAGTCGGAATCGGTGCGTCCGCTGGTTCTGTGCGAGACGAACATCTACGATGCCGACATGTTCGCCTCAACGTGGCGGCCTATCGTGTCCACCCTTTCTTACGTATTCATGTCGGCTACGGACGATGCAGTCTTTGCGAGGATCGTCACTGGCTTTGACGAATGCGCCCGTATTGCGGCCAAGTATAAAAACACGGAGGCTCTCGATCAGATCATCTACGCACTAAGCCACATGACAACCTTGGCTACTGACATACCCTTCAACACCAACTTGAATACCGAGGTCCAAGCTGGCGAAAGCAGTGTCATGGTCAGCGAGCTGGCAGTGAAACTTGGAAGAGACTTCAGGGCGCAACTGGCGACTCTGGTACTTTTCCGGGTTGTCACTGGCAGTGAGGAGTTAATTCAGGATGGTTGGAAACATGTAGGTCAACATCCTCCTGGATCATCATGGCGGAAAAACTAACGAAACCTAGATCACCCGCATATGGCTCAACCTCTTTGTCAACTCCCTGGTCCCTCCCTTCTTTGCGGATTCACCAGTTCTGGACATTGGTCCGATCCCGCTGCACACACCTTCTCAGGTAATCGATCGTGCTGCAAAGACTGTCGATACGGGCTTCTTTTCTGCCTTTACTAGCTACATTTCCAGCTACGCAGCAGACGATCCCCCAGAACCCTCGGACGAGGAACTGGAAAGTACCCTCTGCACCGTCGACTGTGTCAATTCATGTCATATGGGCAACGTCTTTGCCAACATCTCGTAAGTCAGCCTGCTCCTGGCCAGTCCAGCTACTAATCAGAGTCGCGTAGAAAACTCTCCCCTCAAGACCTAGAGCCGTTGATTGACTCCCTCCTCAACGCACTACCTGAAGATAACAACCCAACGGTGATCGTTGTCAAGTCGGACAATGTACCCGCAGCAACAATGAACGGCCAAAAGCCCGTGCAACCAGGAGCTGTGTACGACCCTGCCATGGCCTACATCCTTGAGTTCAGCACAGTCCTGGCTCTTCGCGATCAGGACACTGTCCAACTTGTAGCAAAGAGGGTCATCGAAGCACTGCAGGTCGTGCTGCGAGATGCTGGACGGTACCACTACATTGTTGTCTCGAGGGCGACCTTTTATCTTCTCAAGCTACTCCGAGTCAGCTATGTATGCATGCTCTTACCCGCTGAAAGCGTTTTTTTTTTCTTACTAACTGGTTTACAGGCTCATGATTACATCAACGTCCCGGTACTGTTGCACACAATCTCGAGCTTCCCCAAGGACGCACTGGCGAGAACTTCGACCATGGTGCTCCAGGGCTTAAGACTGTGCATTGACGAACCCAGCCCACTACGCAACGAGATCATGACTTCCCCGGACTTCTGGGCAATCATGCGAGCACTTACCGGACGTCCAGATTCTGCACCTCTCGTGTTTGACATTCTCGAGTTAGGTTGCGGAGGTACACCACCTGCTATCATTGCCGACAACTACGAGGCGGCCATCTCTCTCTTCGGCGACTTCGCGTCCGGGGCAGGTCGGATTGTCCTTGCAGAGCGCAAGCTAGATGCCCAGCAGCGTAAGGCCCGAGAGGGGACACACGACAAGGCGACGTGAGTGATTCCCGATACCTCTACCATATTGCAAGTTACTAACGGCCAGCAGTGTCAATGAGGCAATCTCACGAGGTACCAAGGCGGTCAACAGCATTCACAATATGACAGCGCGTATACCTTTCTTGATGAAGCAGTCCCATCTTGAGAGCAACGAAGGTAATGCTCTTCACCACTGGGAAATGAGTAACAACGACTAACGCAATGTTACAGCATGGTCCGCTTACTGGCTGCCTATCTTCCAAGCACTAACAACGCAATGCACAAACCCATGCCGCGATGTTCGCCTCCAGGCGTTCACGTCGCTGCAGCGATCTCTACTCTCGCCTGAGCTCACTGACAGTGACCACAAGGAGTGGACCGCCATATTTGGCGAGGTCCTGTTCCCTCTCATTCACAAACTCCTTAAGCCTGAAGTCTTTTCATCGGACCGTGACGGCATGAGCGAGATGCGTGTTCAAGCTGCGTCCCTGCTGTGCAAAGTGTTCCTTCAATATCTCGTGCTCCTCTCAGAGTGGGACGGAATGCTGGATCTGTGGGTCAAGATTATTGACATCATGGATCGGTTAATGAATAGCGGTCAAGGCGATAGCCTGGTACGTTTATGTGGAGAGTCCTGGACCTTAGAGATGAGATTGCTAACAGTACGTAGGAGGAGGCAGTTCGGGAGAACCTCAAAAACGTGGTGCTTTTCATGGCAAGCAGCGGCTTCTTGGTGTCTCCCAGACAAGACGCTTCGAAAGAAAAGCTATGGAACGAGACTTGGAAACGGATCGACCGTTTCCTCCCAGAGCTGAAGAGTGACCTGGCCCTGGAAGAACCAAGTAGTGGAGGAGAGCCGGCGCCAGCGGCTGGTACGACTACCTAGAGGCACAACATCGTGAGGTGCCTGGGTGTGAATGCCGATAGTTGAGATGACGTTTTACGTGTACATATATGGCAATCGGGCAGCATGAGTTAGGTATTCATGATGGTCAAGATACTGGGCCATGTCGGCATTTGATGCATGTAGTAGGATTTCAAGGATGTCGCCTTGATGTCTACCTACAGGGTGTTATCGAAAAGGGCTTTACGTGAAAGTACGGGGAAGTCAAACAGCACTTGGAACTGCATTATACGTATGTAGCCGTGCCCAAGTGCAGTGCGTCACCAAGATCCAGCAAAGAATAGAGAGCCATTCTTTATCCCTTTCAAAAGCGTTCACATCGTGAACACAACAATTCAAAACTCGGGGGCACTAAAAGACCGCGAGCACAAAGGTCTCGACACCCAAGAACACTTTTCGACCGCCCGATAAAGGTCAAGAGTAACCCCTCCTTTGAGAACGAACAAAACTAAAGAGAAGGTGCTTATCAAGAAAACAAAACATACAACACCAGGTATTCGCTGGTCGTCACCGACCCAACTACTAATCCAGCCCTCATTGGCTTATCTATGGGAGAGCGGACGGGATCCCGAGTTTTCCAATGGGTATGGTCGTATGTAACAGCAGCGAAGCAAAATGTGTCTATATTCCCGATAGAGCAAGGTTACAATCCAGCAAAAGAAGGCCGTGAGGGGTCCAACAGCGCCAGAGTAATAATCTTTAGTCTAGAACGACACCATGCATCTTCTCAGGTGCTGATCAATGGTCTGCTTACTAGGTAATGTCGTTTTCGTGAAGCACTAGTAGAGATTGCTCAATGATTGTGCAACAAGAATGAAGCGAAGCTATGATAGCTTGATGTTGAAGTTGAAAAGCGGGAGGTTGCGCGCGTCACCACGCAGGCCGTAAGGGTAGATCGGCCGTGCCCAAGGTAGGTACGCGCCTTAGGCAACTAGAACTTACCGCAATACTGTGCACAAGCCAATCTCAGTCTGTCACTCGAGTTCAACATTTACACTTCCCTCTTCTTCCCGTTCATTTTTGTTTGGAGCTCGCCTACACAACCGTAGACATGGCTTCCGGTCTTCCTATCGCCACGTACGTGTCATTGCACTTCGACACGTCGGGCCGTTGGCTGACCTTTTGTGCCACAGGGTATACGTGCGAAACCTCGAGGAGCGCGCCAAAGTCGACCAGCTGAAGGATGCGCTGCTTCAGATCTTCTCCGATTACGGCAATGTAATTGACATTGTCGCCAAGACGAATCTCAAGGCAAAGGGCCAGGCTTTTGTCGTCTTTGACGATCCCGAGGCTGCGCGCAAGGCCATCGAGGAGGTTCAGGGATTCGAGCTATTCGAGAAGCCTATGCAGCTGGCCCTGGCCCGGACGAGGAGCGACGCGACCGTCAAGTCGGTAGGCAACGACGACGAATTTGAGCTTCACAAGCGCCGCCGCTTGGCTGAAAAGGGTAACTTCATTTCGCCCTTCACACTGCCTTCTCTCGCTACTGTGGACTAGAACGGTTTGCTGACCCTGTCCTCTCATCACCAACAGACAAGAAGAAGGCGTTCGAGGCTGCCGAGGAGCAGAAACGTCTCAAGAGACCTGGCCCTGGCGGTGCACCGGCAGCAGATGCCCGTCCTGCCAAGGCTGCTCGTGGAACTGGTCTCAAGTCCACAAATCCCTCTACCACAGCAGTCATTCCCGACGAATATCTGCCCCCGAACAAGATTCTCTTTGTACAGAACTTGCCCGACGACTACGACATCGAAGCTGTTACCAGTATCTTTGGCCGTTTCGAGGGTTTCCGTGAGGTCAGATTGGTGCCTGGACGCCGCGGCATTGCCTTTGTAGAGTACGAGGGTGAGCAGGGTGCCATTACGGCGAAGGAGAACACGGCGGGCATGGTGCTGGGAGACACGCACACGATCAAGGTCACATACCAGCGCCAGTAAGATGGTTGATTGGGACGAAGGTAACAGCCTCAACTCTGTTTGCATGTAGGGAGGTAATAAATGTGTTCCGGCAGGGTACTAATGTTTACAACGAGTGCGTACCCAATGAAAGCTACCTTAGTCTAATAACACCGCACCCGACGCATGCTTGATCGCCACCTCTCAATCCGTGCCCCAAGGACTAGCTAGAAGATAACGTCGTTGTCTTCCTCCGCAGCAAGAATGTCGCCGGGGCCTGACGTATCGCCCTTCTCTTCTGCTGCCCGTGCAGCCTTTTTGGCCTTGATCTCGGCGTCTGCGGCAGCAGTGTCTCTCTGTTTCTTTCCGGCAACCTGCAGTGCACTGTGAGAAATTGCCATCAAGATCTAACGGACCTCCACGTACCTTTTTAAGTCTGTAGAACTCCTCTCTGTCAAGTTCGTCCAACTCCGAGTTAATGTCTGTAGTAAAAGTTAGATAGGTATCCCGAAGTAAGGCATACAACATACACTTGATGGTGTTTTCTGTCCTGGGAATAATAACGTGCTCGCTGGTGAGACGGTCAGTGGTGGATTGCCAAGATGATCTCGCAGGCATCTTACATGGCGTTTACTGCAAAATGTTAGTCAATCGCTTAGAAGTTCAACGTTTGATCGAATACATACCACGTCGATTAACGACCTTGATAACCTCATCCAAAATAACGAAAGCGGTCTTGGCACTGTTAGCGCTTCTGCAGTGTCCAATGGAGACGCACGGCGGTGTACCTGTAGACTGGCAAGCTCGACCAGAGCTTCAACAGCACGTGCATATGTCTCGCGACAACGCTGGACCTGCTGACCACCCTTGCCCAAGCCCGTGAGGCCGAAATCGTTGTTTCCTTCAGTTACGTAGCTCTCGAATGCCGGGAGTAAGACACCAGAAACGTTCTCCTGCTTGGTACGCACACGGAAGCGAGCTGACCGAGCCGACTCCTGGATCTGGTATCCGATATCACCGCCCACGGCGTAAGTGACTTCGGCCAAGGAGAAGGAAGCAATCTGCATAACGCGTCCCATCTTTCTCTTCGCCTCGTCGATACGTCTTGTAATTTCTGTTCAGGGCGCAGTCACATCGGTCAGCGTAGTTTCGTCTCGGACTGCAAGCGGCACTGCCAACCTCGGAATCGCCTGTATCATGGAACACGTCAGTGAATCAAATCATAATGCAAGATACAGTTCATTGCACACATACTTGGTCAAGGCCTCGCTCTTTCTTTTCAACAGACTGTGGCCAGTTTCGGCGCCCTTGAGCTTGGCCTTCATGATACCCAGCGACTGGCGCGTGGGAAACACCGCTTCTCGGTCCTACACAGATGCATCGACATATTAGAAAGCTCCGTGGTCGACTCTAAATGATGTAGGAGGGCTTCGGCCTACAGGAGCACCCGACATGGTGTTGGATAATCGGATTGAGCGATGGTATAGGTTGGGCTTGGAATTGAGAGGAGATCGGAGGGGAGGTTCGAGACGATTCGCACGGCAGCGAAGGGCGGAGGCAGTTGGGCGCAAGACGGTCGTCCACGATATAGTCGACAAGGAGGAGCTGGAGATGTTGTCAGGCGGCCTTTGGTTGCTGTTGCGTCAGTGCTCAGAGCCGGCTCAGCGATGGGACGCTAAGGTGGAAGTACCTACCTCAAGCGGCCCCCCAGAGATGAAGTCGGGTACCTGGTGTACATAAGTGGATCGCTGGCGATTAGCAGTCCACTGATAAAGCTCGAGAGTGGGCTGTCTTTATCCGCGCGTGAGCGTCTCACGGACGCTAAAGCGGCGCGGCGCCTCCATTGCGATATGCTTGTATCGGTGGCTGGGACTGCCGCCCAACTTATCCCAATAGCCGAGCGCCATCCCAAAAATACAGGACGTGGCGCATGCAAGAAAAAGTACCTTGGTTAGTCGACCTTGCCAGACTGCATCGTAAAGGAACGATCTGTCGACTAGTTCGCGCCATGATCATCTTTTGAAATCGCGCCCCCGGAAGTTGCGAATTCGTCCCCAACGCGACCTGCACAAGGCGAAAAGGCGCTCTCTGCGCTCGAGCTGTCAGTCTCTTGGTTACTCATGGCCTTTGGACAAACGGCCTGAACCAAGATGCCTGCTCCCACGCTTCTCAACGGCTCTCAGAGGCGGCCGGAACTGCACCTCGTTGTATGCGCCGCCCATCCTCCTACTTGCCCTCTTCGTCTTGTCAACACTGGAGATAGAAGCTAACAGTGCCCGATAGAGCGACGAGGACTCCGTATACGAACAGGATATCCTGCGAAGCCCTGGAAGCATCAAGCCGTGGCTTGCCTACATTCAGTTCAAGTCCCAACATGGAACTGTACACGAACGCGCTTTCGTGCTCGAACGAGCCTGTCTCCAACTCCCCCGGTCTTACAAGCTATGGAAGATGGTAAGTCGCGAGGAGCACGCCAGCTGGCGGACCGCCGCCGCCGCCGATTGCTAACTGTACGGATAGTATCTTACCTTTCGCACCAAGCACGTTTCGAAGCTAAATGCTGCCATTTTCCCCGCCGAGTACCGAAAAGTCAATGCCTTATTCGAGCGCGCGCTCATTCTGTTGAACAAAATGCCTCGCATCTGGGAGCTATATCTGAAGTTCTTGCTTCAGCAGCCGCTGGTCACGACCACCCGACGCACTTTCGATCGAGCCCTTCGCGCCTTGCCGATTACCCAGCACAATCGAATCTGGGCTCTCTACAAGCCGTTCATCAACTCTGCTGCAGGAATCAGCGCCGTCAAGGTGTGGCGCCGCTACATGCAAATACACCCCGAGGACGCCGAAGACTTCATCGAGCTCCTTGTGCAGGTCGGCTTCTACACTGAAGCCATCAAGAAGTACATGGACATCCTCAACAATCCGCGCTTCACTAGCAAGCAAGGGAAAGGGCACTATGAACTGTGGAGCGAAATGGTGGACTTGATGGTCGAGCACGCGGCGGATATTGAAACCGGTCACGAAACGGGTATTGATGTTGACAGGATCGTCAGAAGCGGCATTGTCAGGTTCGCCGATCAACGAGGAAAACTCTGGTGCGGCCTAGCGACTTACTGGATCCGACGAGGCAGCTTCGAGCGCGCCAGAGATGTGCTCGAGGAAGCCATCACCACGGTAATGACGGTCAGAGACTTCACGCTTGTTTTCGATTCGTACACCGAGTTCGAAGAGTCCATCATTGGAGCCCTAATGGAAGTAGCCTCGGAGCGTGCCGACAACGGTATCGTGGACGAGGAGGCAGATTTCGAACTCGACATACGGATGATGCGGTTCGAGCAACTCATGGACAGACGGCCATTCCTTCTCAACGACGTAGTCCTGCGCCAGAACCCCAATAACGTGTCTGAGTGGGAGAAGAGAGTGGCTCTCTGGGGCGACAACCATCTCGAAGTCGTTCAGACATACACAGCCGCCATCGCCACGATACAACCGAAAAAGGCCGTCGGGGCCTTCCATCAGCTTTGGGCCAATTACGCCAAATTCTACGAGCGTGGTGGTGACATACGCAATGCGCGCATCATCATGGAGAAAGCCGTCAAAGTCCCATTCAAGTCCGTTGCCGAATTGGCTGATATGTGGATTGAATGGGCTGAGATGGAATTGAGGAACGAGAACTTTGACGATGCCGTACGAATCATGGCCAAGGCTGTCCAGGCACCGAAGAGATCCACAGTCGACTACTTTGACGAGACGCTATCGCCGCAGCAGCGTGTGCACAAGAGCTGGAAGCTGTGGAGTTTCTACGTGGACCTCGTGGAGAGTGTCAGCACTGTGGAGGACACACGAAAGGTTTACGAGCGCATCTTTGAGCTGCGAATCGCGACACCGCAGACAGTGGTCAACTATGCGAATCTGCTGGAAGAGCACCAGTACTACGAAGAGTCGTTCAAGATTTACGAACGTGGCCTGGACCTCTTCAGCTACCCAGTTGCCTTTGAGCTGTGGAATCTCTACCTTACAAAGGCCGTGGATCGCAAGATCGGTATTGAGCGTCTGCGCGACCTCTTCGAACAGGCCATTGAAGACTGCCCACCCAAATTCGCCAAGGTCATCTACCTCATGTACGGCAACTTGGAAGAGGAGCGGGGCCTCGCGAGGCACGCTATGCGCATCTACGAACGCGCAACGCGTGCGGTGGCGGATGAGGATCGGGCAGACATGTTCAACTTCTACATCACCAAGTCAGCGTCTAACTTTGGCCTGCCATCGACGAGGCCAATCTACGAAAAGGCGGTTTCCACTCTACCCGACAACGAAGCACGGGATATGTGCCTAAAGTTTGCCGACATGGAGAAGCGCCTTGGCGAGATCGATCGGGCGAGAGCCATTTACGGTCACGCGTCACAGTTCTGTGATCCACGCACCAGTCCAGCTTTTTGGACCAAGTGGGAGTCATTCGAGGTGCAGCATGGCAACGAGGATACGTTCAAGGAAATGCTCCGTGTCAAGCGAAGTGTGCAGGCGCAGTACAACACGGACGTCAATTTCATCGCGTCGCAAGCGCTTGCGCGTAGTCAGCGGAGACCGGAGGACTCGGGCGATGCCGAGGTGGACGATGCCATGGCGGCACTTGAGCGACAAGCAAGAGCACCAGCCGGGTTCGTGGCTGCCAGCGACGCTACCAAGATGAGCAGCACATTGGAAGCACCGCCAGCACCGGCGAATCCGGACGCTATCGACATTGACGACCTTGACGAGTAACATGTATCAATTTCTCCGGCCTGGCGGTGGTTGGCTAGTTTTAGGTAATAGCATACAGACAGCAGGACCCCTACAATACTTTTCAATTCCCGGTCCACCCCATTCAAATCAATTCATTCTCCAATGTTCTCCCTTCCCTTGTCTGGCTGATGTGTTTCACAGCCTCACATGTAGTGGTCTGGCTAGGCGTACTGCTCCATGCCGCGAGCGTGGGGGGCGTTCCTCATACCACGCCGTGCGCCTCCCCAAAACATCACTGTATTGGTGACTATTTCGCGGGC